GCGCAGATAATTTTTGTTCACTATGCATGCATGTCAATTAATCTATGCCTGATTTCTGTATTTTATTTTTATTCTAAATTATTAATTAAATGAGAACTTAACTGCCTAGTACTCTTGCAGAGCATTATACAATAGATACACTTGTTCTTGAAGTAATAAGTTATTTGGTTTTTTAAGGAGGATATTTTGCCTCCTGCACATCTACACATGTAGACTTTTATTATGGCCAAAATCATAAAAGGAGCCCTACATTACTGAACTAAAGATTAATGCACTGTTTGCATCATTTCAAGACTCAGCATGTGCTATTATACAATGTAGCTGATGATGTGGTTGACTATTAAGTTATTTCTGGAGGAGATTTTGTCAGTTTCATGATTGGCTTACCCATTATACGTGAAATTGATCTTAATCAGTTTTTTCTAAATGCCAGTTGTGTGTGCTGGGCTATACCATTTGGCCAAAATCATAGAAGGAGGTCAGTGTACACTATGAATTTACTGAATTAATTATGCCACATTGTTTCATTTTAAAAGGATCAGCATAGCCAGATAGCTATTATTACTGTATAAAGCTGTTTGCATAGACCTTGCAAACTGCCAAGTATGTATATAGATAGTAATGTGACTACACAAAGCAAAAAACATCTCAATTTAGACAGTCCCCTTTAAAGCTCATATAGATTGGTTTATGAATTGGTTTGCAAGGTCTGTGCAATTTGCTGTGTTGAATTTTTGCAGATTTTGCGTTTTGCTCTGTTGCGAAAATAAAAATAATGAAATTCTGCATTTTCATTACCACATGGTGGACTTTACAAGTTATTCGCAAAAATTTTATTTCATGAAATCTTACAAATGCCAAATTTGCAAAAAAATTTAGCAACACGAAAATATCTCAGTATATGGAATATAAGGGGAATAAAGGCTGATAAAGAATTATGACCATAAATATTTACTCTAAAATCTACATCTATGATTTGATTCAGATTGTCTAAAAAGTACTGTTAATTGGTGACACAAGCGTTGGAAAATCCTGTTTCTTGAAGTACATGTAGGCATTTGGTTGTGGGGCCATGACCACGCCCTCGGAGTGACATTGTTTTGGGTGGGGCTGGTATTTTGCAAGAATGGCATCTAAAAGTGAGAGCCACTATTCTATTCTCTTTTTCATTCATTCTTTGTCTCTCTTACTCTCTCACTTACTTTACTCCTCTGTATCCTGTCCTTATTCTGATTCATCACTACATTACTGTTACTCTGTTACTGGTACCTCTTGTTCAGTTGTTGTTCTTTATAGACTATCAACCAGTGAAGAGAGAGAAACACTCCACAGTAAAGGTAGGAGACTACCTATTTATGTGGGGTGGGGTCGGGTCTGGAGTGCACTATGATGTGATGGAGGTGTATCACCTACTAACTGGTGCTTGGGACCAGAAACCTACTACTGGTACCCCACCACAAGGCACCTGGGGCTATTCTTCTGTCGCTATTGGGAAGGACATTTATTACTTTGGTGGTAATAGTTATCAATATCAAAATAGCTTATATTCCTTCAGTGTGGATTCATTCAAGTGGAGGGAACTCTCTCCTTATAGTTCTGATCATGGTCCAATGAAGAAGGGGTACTGTGGAATGGTATCAGCTCATTTTGACGGTGAAGACTATCTAGTAATAATTGGGGGAAGCAGAGCATCTTCTACTAATACTTCAAAGCAAACTGATGCTCAGTATTCAGCTGGTGGTGGATGTAATGAGATACATTATTACAGGATTTCATCAGGTCAGTAATTCTCATTATTGATACACAATATTTGATCAGTATTTCTAACTGAATAATTTATATTAATGTACATAAAACAGATTGTTAATAATTAAGTGTGTTTGTTAGTGTGTCTCTGTGTGTCATGTGTTTGTGTGTAATAGTGACGTTTGTCTATGTGTGACTTGTGTGTGTACTAATACATACATTATGATGTGTCTGTGTATGATAGTGCATATAATGTATGTGAGAATTTATGAATGTATGATGTGTGTATGTGACTTGTATCTATAATGTGCATGTTACCGTATGTCAAAATTATGTGAAATTGTTTTGTAAATTATTATGAAAATTCTTCTGATTTTGCCATTTCCCTCCAATTTTGCTACTTGACAGCATTATAACACATGGACCTGTGCTGGAAGAGGCCGAAGAGCATGTCTAACTCACAGTGATGCCTCGAGCACCCCTCTGCCAGACAGATGATTGTTATTAGTAGGCCTAAGTTCTGTCTAGTTAATAGCGAACAAGATTCAGATTGTGAAGATTATTAGTCAAGCAACAAAGAAGCATCGACAGACTTACAATATCTCGTCCAAACGTGCTTCTTTGTGCCTCCTATTTCATCATTATTAATTATTAGTGGGCAATATTGGCTTAGTTCACTCTAATTATTTGTTTTCATTTATTTATCAAAAGTGACTGTGACAAATTTTTGGAAGAATTACGGTATATGTGTGTGATGTTTGTATATGTACATGTATCTATACATAAGCTAATGTGACATGAGTGTGTGTGTGTAGGTTCATGTTATTTATTATCATTTTTAATAAAGTTTTGTATCACATGAGTCACAAATTATATAATTATTCATTAATAATCATAACTGACATGTACCAGAATAGATTAGTATTCTTCAAATAAGGACACCCCTACACCTCTCTTTCATGTGTACAGGTGTGGTGTGTGTGAGATGGTGTGTTTATCCATACATGAGTGTATCTGTGTGTGTGTGTATCATGTGATAGTGATGTGTGATGTATATGTATAAATACTAATGTAATATACATACATGTACATATGTATGATGATTGTGTATAATGTATGTGTGTGCATGTGGTAAGTAAGTGTGCATGAATGGTTGTACATTATTAGATCAATGGATATCTCCTGTTGTTACTGGAGACAGACCACCTCCTATTGATGACTTCACTCTAACACCAGTTACAAATAACACTGCGGTAATGTTTGGAGGCTCTAGCTGATAATGAATACAGTGATAAATTGTATATGATAAGTTTCACTAAGACATCAGTGGTGAGTTAATACTGTAGGGTTGGTTTTGATTTAGAAATTTTTTGATTATAAAAGTTAGTTTCAATTTAAATTCCAATTGAAAAAATTAATCAGTAAAAAATTGATGTGTACTTTAAAATTGCAGTCAATTAAATGCACTGTAGATTATTTTTTCAATATTACATGTACAATCTTTTTGATGCACAATCTAAACTCAGTCTATTATTACTTCATTGATATAAATAATTAAGTTCATAAATAATTTTATTACATTGATTTTATTATTCTCTCAGGATATATTAGAAGTACCTAATCCTGGAGGATCAGTACAATGGCCTAAGAGAAGATATGGTCATTCCAGTGTACTGATTACCACTAGTTCAGGACCACATTTACTAGTGGTGGGTGGATATCCTGCTCATGATGTATGGTTACTGGACATTAATAAAAGAAAATGGAAAGAACTGGTAAGTAATATAATTATTATGAGGCTTGACAATGACATGTTCGTACACTCATATACATATTAAAACGTATGCACACATACACACATACATGTATGTACATACACACTGTACACAATGTAAATAGAATTTATTTTAATTCCAGAATTGACACTGTATTTCTGCACACACACACAGACACATGTATATTCACACATATTTAGATAAAGGAACAAATACAAAACACAAAAAGACACAAACACACATTCACACTAAAAACAGACACACACACACACACATACTGTAGACCAGCATTATTCATCAGTAGTTTTCACTGAGTATCATAATTTGTACATGTATATTACAAACCTCATGAGTTACAAATTTAGTTATTTACATCATGTGTACATGTATACATGTAACATGTACATGTGTGTTTATGTGTGTGAGCAATTATGCATGCTTTACATGTAGCTTTATATGTGTATGCATGCATGTATAGATGTACATGTATGTGTGTTAGTGTGTCATTAGTATGTGTATGTGTATATGTGTACATGCAGACACTTAGTAAGTTCTTAATTGAGGATTCACATGATATAATAACACACTCAGTTGTGTATACTTGTCTATTAATATAATTATTGTGTATTATTAATTTTATTTTGTCATCTTTGTGTTACATAAAACACACTGTGCAGACTATAAAACTGTCATTTAGTTACGGTATAGTCAAAAAATTTTGTGTGAAATAAGCTTCCTTATTTTTGTGATCATAGGTTGCATCACGAAGAATTAATCCCCGAAAATATTAATCAAAGGGCATGGTCAACCGCAGCTTAATTAATTACTATAATACATGTGCGTGTGCATGGCTGCATGCTCTTTTGTCTGAATATTTATTAAGTTATGTTTTTGGTCAAGCTCATATCTCTGTATCACTATTTTAAGCCTATAGAGGCAAGGTCAAAGATGATCTCCCTAATTACTGCTAGGGCCCACACTGTTTTGTAAACATGGTGCAGTGCCCCCTGGCCTGACTCAAGAGTATATTTCAAGCATTGCGTCCGCCATGTTTTAATTACAATTGGTGTGTTCAATTATTATTGAAACTAAAATCATGAAAATATTTTTTGCTATACGGTATTGTGTTTATTAACCAAATATGAAATCAATTAATGTGGTAAAATTTATCCTTTTAATTTTATACATGTACATGTGTAGATTAATCTACCAGACAATTTCACTAAAAGATACTGGCATTCTCTCTCAGTGTGGAGTGTGACCCCAACTACTAACTGGATAATTGAGTTTGGAGGACTTATAGAACATAAAAATACAGCAGTAATAGAACTCAGTAAGTACATGTAGACAGAAGTAAATACAATGTGTATTGAATATGTAATGATAATTTTTTAATGATAATATTACAATAAAGTAAGTAATTCTTATGATGAATATTTAATGAGAGCATTTGACGTATTATACCTATGATACTAATTATTACCCATTCATTCCTGCTATGTACAATAGTGAAATATAATGACTGCAGATACAGAAACACTGATATTAATAGGAGCTAGAGCAAATGAAATATTATTATCAGTGTATTTATATGCAATAATATGTTCATGTGGTTAACTGTGTAAACTGACAGAGGTCACACATACAATGATTAAACATGAATCCATCAATAATAAGGTTACCATAGTAACTAAGTGTAATTAATTTGTGTATTTCTTATTCTCCACTATTTTGTTACTGTATAGGATATACTAGTGATAATGATTGGTCTACTAGTGTAATACCTCTGGACCAGTATCAAGATCAACTAAGAAGAAGGATACTGAGTGATTGGGAGAATTTAGGATTAAGCAAAGAGGTTCAATTACTCAGAGGGCACCTACAAGAAAGAGAAAGAGAATTCTATGAGGAACAGCTTCAAAGGGAAATAAAAGAGAAGGAGCAGATACAGCAAGATCGAGAGAAAGAGCAGCAACAGCTTCTTCAAGAAAAGGCAACACTTAGTCAGCAACTTGATGATGCTACCACTCTCCTTGAGCAAGCAGAAAAGGATAAATCAAGTCTTAATTTAGGTACTATTGTGTTGTACTGTTGTTTATGTGTACATTGTTTACATTATAATACTAGTGGATTAGACAATGTTGAGTATGGAAATAGTATCCTGTACTCAATATAGGTCAAATTGTCCATGCATTAGAAATAATGAGATTGATGTAGAGTGAGCTCTGCTTACCATATATGGTATCATTAGCAATAATCACAACACATGTATTTATGGGCTACTGTACATGCAGTGCAAATTTGTTCAATTAAGCAACATATATCATTTTATTTTCTATCTTTTGTATTTTTATTGATAATAGAAGATTATGAGAAGCTTAAAACTAAAGTTGCTGAAGTATTGGAAGAGAAGACACAAGTAGAGGAGAAGAAACAGATTATTACTGGTTAGTGTATCATCAGTACATAATATTAGATGAGAGAATATTCCATTAATGTAGAAGATTATGAGAAACTTAAAGTCAAGGTAGCTGATATGGAGGAGGAGAAAGAACAATATCTCAAGGAGAAACAGATCATTATTGGTTAGTTAACTATACACACAGATGAGAGAATATGTTTATTGTGTATAGATGACAATCTAAATCTTACTTTGGAAAAGGACAATGTCATAGCCAAACTGACATTACAAGTAGAGGAACAATCACAAAATGAGAAACAGATCATTACTGGTTAGTGTATCATCATCAATCAATAGTAATTATTACTATTCTATTGTTTTATAGACCTTAGAGCTAAAGTGTCTGATAATGAATTGTATACAACCAAACTAATGAAGGAGAAGTCACAACTTCAGGAGAGAGTCACATCCTTAGAGGAACAATCCATCAAAGAGACTAGTTCCGTTGGACTACAATTCAATTACCTGATCCCTTCAATGGGTAAATTATTCATGTACATGTACACATGCGAATGATTGTGTGTGTACTATACTGGTATTAGATATGATGTGTCTGTATTGTTTCAGATTCACTAGACTCTAGTGTCATTATAGCTGGACAGAAGCTTTTTATTCTACAAGGAGACAGGTCTGACTCACTCCAGTGGGAGAAATATGGATTCAGATTAGAGTGTCCTCAAGGAGCAGTGTCCAAGGATACTGAAGTAGCTGTTACTGCACTAGCTGGTGGTAATTTCAAGGTACCCAAAGGTACTGTGCTAGTGAGTGCAGTATATGCAATATCAGTATCTAAGGCACTATTAAAACCACTGGTAATAGAGCTACAACATTGTGTGGATCTAAGAAACACTAGTCAGACTGGTTGCCTCAAGTTTGTGAGAGCTCCACTGAAGTCTCCCAATGCTTACCAGTTCAGTATAGTTGAAGGAGGATCTTTTAGTGTAGGGAACAGATATGGTTCTATTGAACGTGACGAATTCTGTGCTTTTGGTATTGGACATGTTGGTAATGGAGACACACCTATTGGAGGTGGGAATGGATCAGAGAATGATACACAAACTCAAGGTCTACAATAGTGTTTGTATTAATAATTTACTGTTGATGTGTTTGTATGATGTATAGGAACAAATAATGATAGTGAGGAGGAGACTAATGGAGACACACCTAATGATAGCAGTAATGGAGCAGGAGAGAATAGTAGTGGAGGAGGAGCCACTCCACCAACAAGTACTACACTACCTCATGGTATGTAACTGTATCATGTATACTGCATGTTATGTTTTACCTTATAGACTCAATTAATGATGATCCTTCTCAGTTAGTCCCTGAGGTTGGATCCCATACTACTGATGAACCAACAGTACAACAGTCAGATCATGCACTAAGTG